GACCCCATTCCCAAAGCTAGACTGGAAAATCCAACTTAAACTATCAGTGTTAATTGTTCCATATTTCTTTTAACCCTGGTACTTGTAAGGCAGGGGATAAGGAATATGAAAACAGACTAGAAGAGACTGCTGAAGTGATGCTTCCTCCACAGTACCGCCATGGGACCTCGCTCACCAACTCTGCACCAAACAGATCATTTCTGCTCAAAGCATATCACAGCCATCAAAGAGATGCCCAGTCTCTACTGCAAAGATTACAAATGATGCAGAAGATCACAACTGAAAGTCCTTCAGAATGATGTCTCAAGGCCACACAAAGGGAATAACTAGTCCACTTCAGCTGGTATTAGGACAACCAGCTTAATCAAGGTTTTGCAGATACTCGCTTCCCACAGTATAAACCCCTCTTCAAGTGAAACTCACTGTCAAAAGTCAATGTTAAGTGAAGATTTCAGAGCTATATTTATGTACAGTTTTCCTCAAGTATAAACAGAAGGAGAAAGAAGCCAAAGCAGAAATAATTGCTTGCTATTCTTCCTGAGCATGGGCCGCAGCACCCGTGAGAAGCAGCAGGGATTTGCTGGGGAGGCGAGCAAACAGCCCTGCTCCCTGGGAACTGCAAAGTGGCTCCAAAGAAAGCAAGTGGGAGCCTGACTGGAGGAAAAGCCTGGCTACAACTGTCAGCCTGGAACAGGGCCTGACAAAGGACAGGTGCTGCAGCCAGCCCACCATCCAGGAGGATGTGATGCTCACACGCATTAGGGCCAGGAAGCTGCCCCAGCTTCACACCAACCACCAGCTCTGGCCATCGCTGAGCCCAGCACAGAGGAGTGAAGATCTCTGAGCCCAGTAGAACACCATCAGCTCCACAGCAAATCCACTTACTGCCACATCTTGGCCTTCAACTTGAAGGGGAATTAAAACCAGAAGGCGGCTGACTCACTGGAGCTGGATTTCACTGTAGCAAACACAGCCTCCAGGGAGGTCTGCCATCTCCTTACCTCTCCAGCACCTCTCCAAAGACCCTTTTTGCCTGTCCTGCACTGAACATGCTCCCTTTCAAACTCCCTCCATGGCAGTTAGAGGGTTAACATTGCCAGACCAACAGAGAAAGGCTTTAGGAAGTGCTATCAGGGACATCACCCCTGCAGCTTGTCAGCTCTGTGCTCAGGCAGATTTATCCTTAAACTCTGACTGGGATTTCGTGGCAGCTTTTGGAGCCTGGGAATCTGCAGCTGGCTGAAACGTTATCCTCCGGAGCAGGATCTGCCCCCACACAGCCAGAATAACTGAAAACAGTTGTTCAGTTCAGGAGCTTTTCCAGATCTTTGTGAAAGACCTGAAACGTTCCCATTTTTGACAAGTGAAAGACGGGTTCAGTTTATAGCTAAAATGTCTGGGAATAGGAAGGCTTGGGATATGTTGGATGCAAAAGCCTCTATCTTGACTCTTGTGCTTCACACTGGAGCTTTGCTGCTCATAGAATGGTTTGGGTTGGAAGGGACTTCAAAGCTCATCCAGTTCCAACCCCTGCCACGGGCAGGGACACCTTCCACTAGAACAGGTTGCTCCAAGCCCCTGTGTCCAACCTGGCCTTGAACACTGCCAGGGATGGGGCAGCCACAGCTTCTCTGGGCACGTATTTGTGCTCTGCTCCTCTTCTCGACCACAGGGATGGTGGAGAAGGGCTCCAGGGGACACCACAGATGGTGCAATGATCCAACACAGCTGGAAGGGGGATAAGTACCTGCAATGGGTTAAACACATCCCTATAAAAGGGTAGGAAGGATGGGATGGGTAAAACCACTAGCATCCTGATGCGAGGTTTAGGAGCGTGGAGGGAGGAGGTGAACATACCTCTCCATGGGGTGTGCAGTACGTCTCAGGCTTGGAGAGGCCGCATGTGGAGGATGCTCTCAGGAGGTGGGCTCGTCCCAGGAGGAGGTCTCCAGCAGGGGGGTAGCAGGCACCATGGGAGCAGGCTCCCTGTGCACCCAGCACCCGTGGGGCCACTGTGGCAGCAGGAAAACAGGACACAGGGTTGGTTCAGGATGGCACAGGCATCAACCAGCACATCTGCTGGTTCTACAACACACCAACTACCAGGTCATGCCTGGGACAAAGCTACAAAGTGCAGAAAGGACAAAGGTTGTTCGCCCCTGAGCTACCTTTATTTTTACTATGAAGAAAGCACTTTTTAGAGTGCTTTGTACTAACAGTTATTTCTGAAGCAGTTCTTTGCCATGCCCCCAGTGTTGCGGGGATGCTCAGTTCCCTGCCCATCACACTCAACAGTGCTGGCTGGTGTTCCCTGTTTCCCTATATAGCCAGCCCTATAGACAGAGAGCAGCCTTCTGCCAGCACTATTAGCAAATACTAGTCTCCCAGCTGCTGCCACGATACTCCTACTAACACAATGCTCATATTAGCAGCATTTCTATTTAGTCATATCCTTCTAGAAGCACTGCCTGGTGAGCCTTACCCAGGAGGACAAATAATGCCCATAGCCAAAGCTGGCAGCGAGACTCCATTCCACCAAGGACACACCTAGGGAAGAATTTGCAGCATGAGCAAAAATGAGCAGAAAATGCCAATCTCAGCCCAGGTCCTTCACGTTCTTTCTGAGTTTACAGGGAAATAATTGATCCACAACAGAATAACACGAGTGAAAAATCAACAACATCAAAGAGGAAAATCAGATGCTCAGATTGTACTTTTTAATGCACAAAGAGTCTCAGTTTATCATCTGACTTGTGAAGTGTGCACAAGATTCTCCTAAAGCCTGTAAGAGCTTTTCCTCTTCCCCAAACACTATCTTTGGATCTTTATGTTATTGCTCAGGTGAACCACAGGTACCAGCTCTCAGCAGCGCTGTAATTGCTGAGTGCCAGGCTCCACACGGACATGGAAAAGCCACAACCCCAGCACCACGATCCGCATGGGCAGGGAGCCGGCGCTGATGCCAGGTCTCAATGCATGGCTAGAAACAGTGCCTTAAGGAGCATTCACACACCAACATACACACTCCCCTCCCATATAACCCCCCCAGCCCCCTCTTCCCAGGCACACCACACTTTCTGTCCTCCAGCCCCACTCTTTACCCTGCACTTCCAGAATCTGTTCACTTCCAGAATCGATTCCAGATCAAAACTCACCAGCGCACACAACGGCCCAAAGGCTCGCTCTACAGAAAGAAGCAGCCCATAAAAATCACTGTAAAGCGTCTCCTGTGGGACAGCCCAGAGGCTGAAGAGCTGCCAGCGCACCCCAGGAGCCAGAAACCTCACCTGCCCTCCTCCCTGCGTGAGCAGCAGCACCAGCGCCGGTCCCTGCGGTGTCCCTGCCTCACAGTGAGGGCTCTCTCCCCTTCTTGCAACCACAGAAGCCCTGTGAGCGCTGGCTCCTTTCCCAGCTTTTAACAGGCAGCTGCCTCACCTGGGAGAGAAGGTGCCTGTGGGTGCAGTAATGATAAAGGGAGTGATTCAGGGATCCTCAGACACACACACCCAATTACCGCATAACTCATGACAGCTCCTAGATGGGGCGCGCGGCCGCAGACATAAATCACTTTGGATGAGGATGACGGCAGCAGGTAACCAGCAAGGAAAAGCCCATCTGTAGCTAACCCACCCGGGGCTCGTGTGATGTCCCACCACTGGGACATCATCAAATCAGCTTGAAACCAGCTCCCTCCAGAGCTGCTGAACAGCTTGGCATCGGGCAACGCACCCAACGTGCACCCACCCTCTCAGACAGGATTCCATGTGGTGCTTAGCATCACGATGACAAGGCAGTGCTGCTATCAGCACCTCAACTTCATCATCTAAAGCCTCATTGGGGACGTCCACGTGAGTTATAAGCTCACTGTTCATTCACACATCAGACTGCAGCCTGAAGGCAACCTCAAGCGCAGCCCCGGTCACGCAGCCCCTCTCCTGGGACTTCTCAAGACACAAAATGACCTAAGATGAGCTTGAGTTACCTACAAAATGCAATCCTGTGACCTCACCAGCTGTGAAGAGAGTCCAAAAGTCACACTTATTAAGAAACACAACTCTTGTTTGGGTACCCAGCTGCACGCCCAGCTGATGAGGAGCCTGTATCCCCTACTTCAGACCTAATTCAGAGCTCTCTTGCACTTGACCCATTTCTGTGGTCACTGTTGCTTTACATGAGTATTAATAGAAACAGTACCATGCGTTTATTTGCTTTTACTGTGCCATCAAAGTAACATTTTAACGAGACTGTTCAAACTGATGACTGCTCAGGGCAGCTCCGCAGCTCATACATGCAGTATTCCCTCTCTCTCCGCACTCCCAGGCACTGCTTGCTCATGTTTCAGCTAGAACACAGCCTTTTATCCTCAGAACAAGCCTGTTCCACTCACTTAACTGAAATGACCCCAACAATCACATCAGGTGACTCCAGATCTTTGCTCCTGTTGCTTTGCTGGTGTGTGCTACCTACCTGCGCGTCCTCCTGCTGAGCGATGCACACTGAGGATGAGGAGCTCAGGGAGAGGGCACACGCAGAGCTGGGGAAAAAGCAGTCCCTCAGGCTACAGTACGTGAACCATGGGCTTGGCTTCCGCCGAGGTGTGCCCCAGCGCTGGGTGTGCCTGCCCTCACCCGTTACTGCTCAGCAATGCGGTAACACCACATTCCTCCTGCAGCCAGGATGCCTCCTCCCTGTCTTAGCTGGCAGCAGGAAGAAACACTGGAACGTTTCACAAAGAAATGGTGACATAAGATGTGCTACGAGGTGCCAACACCATTCCTGCAGGCTGGTTGTGAGGAGACCCACGCACAGTCAAATCCGTCAACAGCGTAACCTGGTGCAGTAAAGTGTGAGAAATCACATCAAACTCCCTAAATTCCTCCTCTGGCGGAGTGACTACACTACAGGAGGCAAAGGAGAGCAAGGTCTGTGATGCTGGACACAGCACTCTTGCAAAACCTGGCTAAATGGCCACTGCTAGCGGCATGTTCTGCCTGGTTTAAAATCAGGCCCTAGAACACTGGTAGTCAAATCAAGAGGCTGAATCTCCTCTTGGAAACACTGTAAATGCCACCTATTGATGCACAATCAGCTCCTGCCAGAGCCAGCAATGCTGAGCATTAATACTCTGCAATGGTGGTGTTCCACCCCAAATTACTGGAAAGCAACACACAAACAGGACTGCAAAATCCTACCTCAAACACAGGCTGCTCCAATGAATTATCCAGAATAAGTCAATTCATCCTTTCCTCTTCCAGCCTGCCCTCAGTGACTTGACAAAGCAGATAAAACATCACCTGGGATTTCAGGCTCTGCAAATTCAAACAAGACCAAAAGCATGGAAGAGTTGCATCTACAGAGTATCTACTGCAAATCAATAAAGCATGAAAGCAAAACAGCAGCTGTGATCAGCAGGGTGCTTAAGGACAGTGTGACAGAGGATCCCAGACTCTGTGTCCCAGTGGGACTGGGCAGGTTCAGGCTCAAATGCTGCTCCAGGCTGTACTCTGCCTGTTTCACCATGTACAGTGTGGTCCTGGGTTCCAGGGAGTGAGGATGTGTTACTGATGGAGGCACATCGAGGCAGCAGGGCTGGCTAAATACACAGGAGACAGAATGGTATAAACCCACTACAAATAATGAAATATAAAGGCTGGAGCAATCCTCTGTGATCACATCCTCGCACCCAGTGACGTTCATGTGGGCAGGATCATTTGAGCTCATGCTCTGTGGTATATGCAAGGGATCTGCTCGGCACTTTCTCTATCCCAGAGGTGCTCCTCAGAGGCAGAAAAGCTCCACATCATGCGATCCTGTACCCATAGCAATGGGCTGGCATCAGAAGAGCTCAGTGCCAGCGATGGGCTGAAGGGGACACTCTTTAGAGGACCCTGTCCCTTCCACATGCCGGCAGCAACCGAGAAAGATGCTGCTGAGCTGGTTTTAAGTTTCAGGTGGAAAGAGGACACAGCACTGAGAGCAGAAACGCATCACAGCCAGCTGTTTAAAAGCTTATCTCCCCTAAGAACAAGGGAGGGCACAGAACAGCCCTGCCAGCTGGGGGCACGTGTGTCACCCACTGTCACAAGCTCACACCCTGCAACAGCTAATACCTGCCAAGCCTCTGCTTTTATAACCAGGTTCCTTCTCTAGAAAGGCTGCTGGAGCCCTGCTGCCATGTGAGGTCAGGTTCCCTGCACTCTTCCTAGGCTCTGAGGTTGCTGATGGAGGGGGATGCATGTGGTGGAGGAAGCACCAAGAGTTCATTGGCCTCGGGCAGCTCCCAGTGTGAACTGGGAAATGAATTGGGAAACAATCCCGCTCCAGTGAGAGCAGCCAGAGTTGAACAGGATGTGACTCCTGCATGAGTGGCTTTGTTTTACTTCCTCTGAACTGACATTTGCTTTCTGTTTGGATTAAAGGCTCAGGAGCACTTTACTCCGTCCCAAGGACACGTTCCTCATTCAGCAGCTTTCGATGTAGTTGTTGAGGTGTGACACCAGTTAATCAGCACTGATCAGGCTGCAATGATCCTGTTCAATCAGCTTTTAACTTCTCTCTCAGAGGAACACAAAGGGAAGTGGAAATCAGGGGCAGAGCACTGAGTGCAAGAACACTTAATCTTGTGAAACACAAAACCCCCATTAAGGAAAATGGATGCTAACTGAGTATAATTGTATAGCTGGAATGAAACCCTGATGCTCTCCATCCTTAGGCCAGGGACAGCCTATGTGCACCTTGTCATGGAAACATAAGAAGCTAAAACCTGGAAGGTGGTACGAGACCTGGAGCTGGAAGCACTTAAGCTGCATGGGAAGAAGTCGGGGTAAGAAATGCTGTCCCATGGTGTAACTTTTATTCCTGATTTCAGGAATAAACCCATGTTTTCTCCCACCTCATCTTTTCATTTCCCATTTTAATTAAATCCTGACCAGCAAAACCACCTCCCGACTCCAGCCCATGCAGATGCTTTAAAATACTGGGTTTGCTAATTGCCATATTTTCTTCCAAAAGCACTTCAGGAATTCCAAATGAAATTTTAATCTCACCCTGAAAACCCTCCACCTGCTCTAGAAGCAAATAAAACTTTGAACCAAATACCAGCTGGCCTAGGTTAGGCTTAAATCCAAGTTATCCCAGGAGCCAGCTCCATGGGGACGTGCCTCTCTGACAGGCTCCCTTTGCACAGTGGGTGCTGCCTCAGAGGTTACTGGTCCTCCCCAGCACAGGACCTGCATTATTTGTCCTCCTGGGTTCTTAGGAGCTTCCTTTAAGCCATGTATCCTCCTTAACATCACAAGAGCAATGGAAGTCACACTACTTTCTGCTCCTGGATGCAGCTTGTTCTTCCCCCTACCTGCTAGAATGAAAACACAGCGCTTGCAGCACACGTGGTTTGATCCTGCCAGGGCAAAGTACGAGTGGTTTGCCCCATCTTGGCTCCCATCCCCAGGCAGCACGTCAGGTTGGAGCAAGGAGCACAGCCCCTCGACCCAGACCGCACCATGGAGCTCATGCTTGTCATGCACAAAGT